ACATATAATTATTATATCATAATACTAAAGAAACACTACCTAAATATCAAGTTTCTAAATTCTTGTACAAGCAGTGCGCGATAACGAGTCTTAATTATTTCAGTCAACTAATAATTAATATACAATACATATCTTCAGGAAATATAACTAGCTTACATATTCCTTGTTGTACTATATATATTGAGAATTAATTTTCAATACCATCAAGTTTTTGAACTACCAAACAATGAAACAATTCCATGAATAGTATCATTACTCAAGAATGAACAATGTTGAAAGAGAGCATGATAAAATCTGTTTTACGTCTTACCTAGTGTAAGTGTTCTCTTTAGATTTAGCATTTAGTTTGTGTTAAGTACAATTATTTTACTAGGAGTATTTTATAATCTAATACATATAATAGAAAATTATTAGTTATCTGGATCGATTGGATATGGTTTATATTAAATATACTACAGCAGCTTATTCGTCAATCATCAGACTCGGTCAACATTATCTCAAAAACTAGTACATAATTTTTTTAACCATGGTATTTTTATGTGTAACAACTTAGAGCAAAAGTAGTAGGGCTTGAAAAAAAAAACAAGATCCTAAAAATAGAGAATGCTGAGCTAAGAGAAAGACTTGGTCTAAATTCAAGAAACTCATAAACACCAACCTCTAAAGAGCTATATTTAATATAAAAGATACATCAGAAAATATATGGCCAGGTCTTGATTGCCAAACTCTGATTAGATCAGGAGATAAAGGGCCATATATTGATATACAATATTCATACAAAATTCATAAGAAACATATTTTTACCGTTTATAATTTGTTTAGTTTTGAGTTTTTTTTATTAAATTTACGATACCTCAATATAATTTGCAAGTATGCGTTATTTAATTGTTTTATAAGATATTGTTATTTTTATGTCAGATTCAACAGTTTATTTCAACCTACAGAATAGCTAGCATGAGGGTGGGGTAAAAAGAACCATCCATAGATAAAGTATCAATAAACCTTCACACTGGCAAAGAACTAAAAAAGTAAATTAAGTTAAAAGTAAATTTTATGCATTAAATTATTAGTTATTAAAGCTGCTTATGAATATGAGATTAAGGTTATTTGCATTGTAATTGGTGTGATATTTGTAAAAATGCGCTGATAAAATTTGTATTTCGCATTGTTGAATAACGTAGCTATTATTTCATAAAAAAATTAAAAATTAAAAATAAGATATTGGATCTTTTTGCCTTTCTGCTTGACTGTCCCTTTTTTACCTCGTGTTTAAAGGGCCGTTCAAGTATTACGTAAGCACTATAGGGGGGCGGGGGGTTATTGATTTGCTTATTTTGCTTATTTTGGGTAAGAACTTTTGCTTACTTTTGCTGACAAAGGGGAGGGGGGGGGGTAAATAATTGTAATAAATCTGCTTACGTAATACTTGAACGATCCCTAAGATGTAAAAAGAGACAAGTGACAAATTTTAGAAAAATAGTTTAAAAAACATATTTCTATCATTAGGAATTAACTGATTGTGAGAGTTTGACTGAATTCGATAATTGTTTGTTCGGTACGTGTTATGTGTTGTGATGAAGTTCATTTGGTTTAAATAGTATAATTACTGAATGTCAAATTGGACTTGGTGCTACAAATCGCTTTGTGCTTAAGATTATGTACGTACGTACAGTAAAACCCCGCTTAACGCGGGGAATACACGTTTCATCAAAGTAGAGCGTAATGCAAAACAACGCTAAAAGAGGCTATCTTTACTTGCAAATATTGGGGTTAGGGAAAGATGGTTAGGTATTAAATTTAAAAAGTATGTTTTTTTTATAAAAATAAATTCAAACATTTATTTCTTAAAGCCCAATTACTACCACATAATTCTTTCTTGCAAAATTAAAAACAGAATATAAATAACAAATGGATATTTTTAAAAAAACTAAATTCTGAGTCAGTCATATTTAGTTAACCATTCGCGTTTACAGTGTTTTGCCTTTTTGTGACAAAAGCGTCTAAAGTTGTTTGCCTTTTTCATTTGCTTCTTTCTGTTAAAAGTTCTTTATAAACGGATAGAGCATCTCCAACACCACGCCTTACTTTTGAGCTTCTGTTAAAATTCGGATCATTTTCAATGAATTGATCAATATTTTATTTATGGTAGACAAACTCCTTTTCAAACCTCATCGAAAGTTCTTTGCTTTTTCTCTGAATCACTACAGTCAACATTTTTCTTTTCTTGTTGTTAAGTTAATTCCTTGAGCTCATCATTAGAAAGACTGCGCTGCTTCTTGAATTATTTCTTTGACATCTTCCATATTTACCCCTTAAATAAAAGGGCGCTTAACCGAAATAGCGCTAAACAAAACAGCGTTAAGCAGGGTATTACTGTATTACTGTATTCAATGTTTTGTTTTCAATACATTTCTGATATTTCAATTGATACAGATCTACCAGATGAAGCCTGATTCAATAGCTGCGAAAAATAATACTTGAATTAGTATAAATTAATGTGGACTTTCTTTTTCGAAAGTTTCAAAATGGTTTAACTCGATGTCAAAATGGTTGAATTGTTTGAACTTTTTCCAAAGTCCCTCACATTACTAGCATCATTAAGTTTTGTTTTAACAGTCCTCTGCGCACGTGGCGGAATTTAAGTGAAGTCGCGCATCGTTGTCACTTAGTATGCATTAAAATTAATATTAGTCAGTCAAATAAGCATTCGTGATCATCTATTTGGTCTCTAAATATCACTTGCAATTAAATGATTAACACATTTCAATTTCTCGACGGGACATTAACGCGCGTACACACATAAAACATGCTCCGATTTGAGCTCATGTGACATATAAATCAACAGCGTTATGGTAATGGGAATCTGTTTTGTATACGTTTGTCTTGCGAATGTATAGAAGCACAAACTAACACCAATTACATATTATTTTGTTTTATTATTTGCATGTCGACATAAAGAAAATTTGTTTCCTTCCGTGGTGCTGTCATAGAACATGCTCTGAACGGTAAAATGCTCGCGCTCATTTACAATGCATTTGCAGAGTTAATCAAGCATTCTTTTCATAAAACGGTTTACTTCCAACGAACGTTTAGATACCGCAATTTTGTCATTATTATCTTGATATAACTTAATGTGGAAAGTAATTTTTATGTCAGTGTATATGATTTGTTTTATATTATAACGAGAGCATAAATATACAACTCATGTTTGAACATTTAAAATCAACGAATTACATTACATTAAGTGACCATTCGTCCTGGTATGGCCGGGACAGTTCCGAATTTTTACCTTGTGTTCCGGGTTTTCCTAAAAGCAATATTTCCCTGATTTTTAACTGATTTTTCACAATAACTTGATAATTTTGCAACTATCCGTCAAGTATCTAAAAATGATATAAAGAACGAATATCTTATTGAAACATTACGATATGAATGAGAATATTTCCGAGTGCAAAATTCGAAACTGTTAAAATAGTATCTCACAATAATTCATATCAAATTTTTATTTTCAATTTTACGAAAATTAGCAAAAATTACGATCACGAACTTTTCGACTGCCCGGCGCAAGTGTTAAATATACTATTATGAGTTGTATATGAAGAAAAGTGAACAGAATTTTAAACAAGCCTAATAAAAGCTGAAAAAACATATAGAATAGATAGAAAAATATAACATTTAGTCGCATAATAAAATTCTATTAAAAGTCAGTAATTCTGATTTGAAACAAGGTTCATTCAAAAAACTGGTTTTTATTTTTTTTCAAATATAGTAATATATATTTGTTATTTTAAAACTATTTAAGTCAAAACTAGCCCCTCCATCCCGGATTAACATAACTTAACTACAAGTTGCCGTTCCGGTTTTGAACTAAAAATATCTGATCACCTTAATTATATACAAGATAAATTTGCAAAGTCTTAACAGAATTTTAAAAGTAACTTTCATTGTGTTTTTTGTGAATTTAAAGTTTAAGCATAATTAAACTCTTTCTTTGAATGACATAATTATGCAGAAGTGTTTGGATGAAAAGATAAAATATGAGAGTCTAGACTACTTTATTATGAATAACGAATAAAATGTAGTTGATTTGCGGGATACATAATGTTGCAGTGTGAATGTTAGCACTTCCAATAGCGCGCGGCCCTGAACGAAGCATGAGAAAAATATGAATACGATTGAAATCAGTTTGTAGCCTTTATAAAATTTGCTTTTAATTTAGTACAATTTTCTGGAAACTATGATATCTTGTATCGCTCGAGCATGCGCTTCAAATATCTTCCATGTGGTTTTCGTTTCAATATACGTAGAGAAGGAAAATAGGATACACGATATCGGTGCTTGGCGTTTGGATAAGAAAGTAAAAAGAATTTGAACGAGCCGTCTGAAAATGTTTTTCGTGTTTGCATCGACTGTGAACTCCTTGGCATCGTATGCTTCGTTCATTCTTTGAACATTTATGTCATGTCACGGAGTACAACGGAGTATATCTCTCCAGCAGATAGCACAGTCCGCAGCGGTATATACGCATACAATTGCACAGTGCCGTTCATTAGTATTAGAGATGCACTTTTAAATCCAAGGCCATATTTTATATAAGTAAATGCAATTCTCTCGGCTGACTCGAGCTTAGAACGTTCGTTCGGATCGCTGGTTCGGACCTTTCAATCATTTCGCAACGGCTTACAGAACAAGGAACACCCCGCGTATGACTCCTTACGCCTCGCGACAATTCGATGCGAGGCGAAAAACGAACCGAATCCGGTCAAATTGAGCGTCTTTCGAGTCGGTAGAGTTGGTCGAGAAATTAGAAAAATATTTTGTTTCACTAGCAGCTATATTGAATTATCTTGCCGGCGATGGATTGAATTAGTAGAGGACGTGTAGTGAAGTGATAGAAGTGCGTTGTGATACGATCGCTATGAAAAAGTTCTACTTTTGTGTGTTCGCTTTGGCGAGTCGTGTGTGATGTGCCATAGTTGAGTGAATTTGGCGAGCGCTCTAACACTGCCGCCCGCCGCTATATATACACGAAAGAATTTTATGTTCTGACATATGACTTAATTACTTTAAAGAAAAGCATGCAGTGAGTTCTGATTTTAAATCTCTATTTTAGCAATTGATACATAAATTTCGAAACAAATTTATCAAACTTTTTTTGGAAACTTTAAAGAATCTGTAGTTATATAATACCGTGGTACCCCGCCTTACGAGCTTCATTTGTCCCGTAACCACACTTGCATGTAAAGTTGCTCGTATCTCGAAGAATTTTTTCATATATAAATACATTGAAATGCCATTAATTCGTTCCTGTTCATTGTTCAATTTTGTTTATAAAAGAAATAAAACCTTATTGCCAAAATCAAAAACATATTCATGAATCATATTATGCAAAAACATAACAAATTACTAAATAAAAAATAATTAATTTATTATTATACCAATTTTTGCGTTCAAAATAACTGTCCAATAAGTATTGTTTTTTACTATATAAATTATATATAATTATAAATTTAATTTATTAACTTATATAGAGCAAAAATTGGTTAAGTATGATTCGTCAAACAACTCTCCACCAGTTGCATCTTTTTCGAGGTGATTTTTATATGCCAACATTTTAACTAGATCCCGCATTGCACAAGAATAATGGCACAATTTGTATTAATGAATTGAATTTTTCAATTTTAAATTACCTAAAATATTTGTATGCTAGTTAAATGCGACTTCACATACAAAAATCCTTGTTCAATTGACATAGGATGAACTTGTTACGTACCCCTATAAAGTTTACGTTACGCTTCTAACTCGCACGTATCACGAATTTTGCTCGTATGACGAAGCAAACTAGCCTTTATATTATGTATATAATGAAGAAGGAATATTTATTATGCAAGCAATTAGGTCCTTTTTATAACTATTAATAAAAAATAATTAAATTACCAAAATTCTAAAATATTCTAAACATAATATTATCTGAATACTATGTTTTCTACATGCTTGTCTATTCCGCAGTGTGACATTAATAACCCTCATTAAAAAATCAATAATTTGCATGCAGAATTATTATCGTGACATTTCGTGTGTTTAATGAATCCTATTGGGAACTAGTATCTTATCGTTTCGTCCATTACTGAATATAAAAATCTTAAATTCTGCCCCTTGGATTAATATAACTTAACACATAAAAACAATTAATAAAATTAATAAAACTAATGAATTATATTGTGATTATTCTACTATATTATTACATTATACATATTAAACTTAATATGGAATCAAGTGATTGCGTAAAATGAAAACCATTTTATAATATAAATTTTAAAAATGTGTTGTAAAGCATTAATCGAAGAATTTTGAATTTCGCTCGTTGAAAAAATTGAGTTTGTTGCATTTTTTTGCATTAAATACAATAGTGATTTGATTCTGGTGTTTTCATTTTAAAGACAAAATTGCACATAGAGTCAAAAGTTGAAGTACAAAAATAAATCAGATAAAAATACAGAGTTTACAATTCCATAAAGCATTGTTAAAATAAATTAAAAAATAAATAAAATAGAGAATCAAACTTTAATGCAAAATCTTCGTTAGGATATAGATACTGGAAATAAATGCATAGATATTTGTATACCTGTCTAATCTAATAAATTTAGATCAAAATTGCAGTTGAAATGTGTTATTATAATAAAATATTCTAACAACTTTACAAATTAAAAAACGATACGTTCTGATAAATCTTTACTTTGCCTGAAGATAATCCACTTACTTACAATTTAACAGCTTTAAAATATGGATTTTATGCATTTAGGGCGTGGTATCATTATCGTCCGTCGAATAGTTTGATAAGAGCGTGGATAATTTGCAATGCACATACACATGTCGGTCATATTGCAGTATCAGTTCTCATCATATCAAACAGCACGTTTGTCTAAGAGTTTTTATTGCACTGTTTCCTACTCGCCGATTTAAAAAAATCGAATAACCATGATAACTTTTTTGAAAACCTACGTTTAAAGTCTCGATCTCGTTAATTATATGTTAAATTATTCAAAAATAACATAAAATCTATGCTTAGTGATAATTATGATGTGAAAAAATTTAAGTATTTATCAAATACATCTCAATTAAGGAAAACCTCTTTTCGCTCAGATCAAATCAGTTCATATTGTTGATACCGATCTAACATCAATTGTTTAAGCATTATTATAATGGAAAATCAATTTTAACAATTGAACAAAAACGATGAGAGTAAAATCTATTATTCTTTACAATATTTATTTATGAAATCATGCCTGAGAAAAGCTTGCGATTGAAGGCGCTATAATTAAAAAACATTAATTTATAGTGAGTTTTGTATTAACGTGACGTTTGATTTGGCGCTTTGCAGGACTCGAGAGAGTAGCTGAAGAATTGATGGGTCGCAGGAAATGGAAGCTATATCAAGAAGTTATCACCCTGCAGAGACCGCCCTTACCTATAGCGCAGACAACGAGTGCGGGCAGCACGACGAGTTCGTGCGTCGCCGCGACGACGACCACGACAACAGCGGCCGCGGCCGGCTCGACTGTCACCAAGACCACAAATGCGACGAGTTGGCCGAACCGCGACGGAACGCCGACGGGACACACGGAGGGCGAAGCTGTCGAAAGCGCGGCTGCGGCCGCAGTCGTCGACGGCGATTCGACGCCCGATCCACAAGACACGAGCGAAACGGCCGCCGCCAACGGAGCAGCCGCAACAACTACCACATCTGTTGAATCGCTGTCCAGCACCGAGAACAATGTGGACGAATGTACTGAATCGCCTACGGACGAGGAACCAAAAACAACCCGTGACGGAACGGATGGAACGCCACCCGCCGCTTCCATGACGCCGATCAAATCCGAGCTCTCCACTCCCACAGCACCCGCCGCGCCAGCCACACCGGCACCACAAGCGGCCGACTGGACGCCTCAAGATAAATGCTACTTCTGCGTTGAAGGTCAATTGCTCAGGGTTGGGCCGGATGGCAGCTTAGTGGCCACCAAGTCAAACAATGACATGGACACCAACAACTATCTTCAAGCGGTACGTATCATAATGTAACTAAATTTTTTTAATAATTTTTGAAATTGAGTTCTGAACATATTTTCAATAATCAGTTGGCCATTTTTATAGTTAACGCGTTTTCAGATTTTTTATAATCTTCATGAACGTGAAATCAAATACTCATTGAATTTAGTTTTTTTTGCTATATATTTAAATAATTATCATGTGGTAAGCGTTCCCTGAAATTCAAACTTTAAAATTTTTTAAATACTCAGGAAATAAAACAGAAGTAAGTGTTGGATATTACAATGCAAATTCAATTATAATAATGGAAACCAGTTTCCACTATGACGCTTATCAATTCAAAACTGTCTATAATTCAGTTTTTGTGTTCACTTCAAAACATCAAGCGGAAAAACACGTTAAAAATAAAATTGCTTCTGAGCATGTCTTGTAAATCCGCACAACGAAGGTCATATCAGTCGGAGAGCGCAACTATAAACTTGTAACAGTTTCAAATATCACTACCATATTCGACGTTATAGGAAAATTCTATTAATTTATAATGAAAATGTCAGATAAAAAATGATATACGAATTATTAATATAAGATGCTAATTTAATTGTACTGATTTAATAAGCAGAAAAATTTTGTTAGTTTTTTTTTTCAATCAACTTATTATTATTAAACAAATTATTATTATACTTGACAGTAAGAGTTTTAGTTTGAACATGGTATACAAATAATTGATATTTATTGTTGCTTCTTGCCCATAGAGTCCCGCTGGCAGCGACAGCGACAGCAGTGACAGCACGTCTGAAATGGAAATGGCTCCACGGCTCGGCCTGCAGGAGGCGCTGCTTGCGCATGGTAACGTTGTCGTCGAACTGTTGCGACGTCAACACAAGCAACAACAACAGCAACAAAACCATCACCAGCAGCAAATGCAACAAGCGCCTCAATTGGGCTCGTTAGATAATGTAACGTCGCTCGCAGCTGCCGGCATTTCACCGTTTTACCCGCCTGGACTCCAGTTTCAAGCAGCGCAGTGGTACCAGTTACTTGCTGCGCAACAACGATATATCCTTCCTCTTGCCGAACAACAGACCAAACAACAGCAACAAGAATCGGGGACGACGCAGCAACAACAGCCCCCGAGCAGCGCAAGCAGTCCGGCGGCAGGCGCAACCGGATCATCGACGCCCGGAGTGGAACAACCGCTGGATCTCAGCGCGAAGAGCGGTAGCGGTTCCAGTACGCCTACGCCACAACCTATGCGATTGCCAAATTTTGATCCAAAGCATATATACAAGTAGGTTCTCCTATTATTTTTTACATTTTATGAATATTATGGCACGATATATTAATGCAGCAATTTGCATCAATTGCTAATTGCCAATAATAAGTTAGTAATTTTGTCACAAGCTACATTTTTTGGTACTGCTACAAATTAAAAAACCTCAATAGTCAGATACATCATGTATCTTACGTTAATTGTATAAGGGTTTCACTTTCAAGTTCTACTTTAATTTCAATACTTTGGTACTCTAGAGTCAAATTCTTCTTAACGCTAATCTTTTAAAAGTAAATAGATGAATGTAACATTTAATGAAGATGAGTATATGTGATACTGTCAATGCTGTGACACATTTAATGTCTTCATTTAAATTCTTTCGTAACATGTCATATTATATTTTTATATGCAAAATATTACTAGCTCTCTGATTTTATTAATTAACAATCATCAACTACATTTTATGGGCACAAATTATCACACGGACCTCATTGAACTTAAATAACATATCGAGATGCTGGGAATTATTTAAATATTCTAATTATATTTGTATGTGCATAATATAATTTTCCACAGTTTGATGATGATGTAAATTGCAATACGAAATTCTGCACTTAATGAACAAAATGATCTAATGCCTAATTATATTTCGCGCCATTCATATGCAGAAGGTATAGCGTTCAATGCTGGTTCATTATATCATATAGCGTTATTTCAAATTTTATCATGCTAATCACGGAAGTAATTATATTTAATAACCGTCTAAAATATATTGCATTGTTCAAAACTGCAGCACAGTATGATACTACCGAATATTTTCTTAAGCAAAATACAATTCAAAGCCGAGCATCGTGAAAATTCTGCTCAATCGTATATGTAGGTTGAGGCCAGATGACTTGCAACAAATCCACTTCATAAATCAATTAAAATTCACGGCTTTAACATCGCGTTTCACATATTACCGGTCTACACTACCAGGAAAGATCAATGACCAATAGCTTTTTTAAGTTAACTTATCTATTAATTTACTCATAAATCGTTATTTCTGTCAGTGATAAGACATTCTTCATATGTATGTATTCACTACACTTTTCATTTTAATTTAATATTTCTGCACATCTATGAAAACCGTGAATTGATTAATAGTTATTTTACTCATGCAATTAGAAATAATACATTAAAATATTTGACTAAAAAAACTGCAATTGAAATATCTCTCTATGCTAAATTAAATAATGTACAGTATACTTTTTTGGAAATTATCTAATGGTATGCGTAAGGGACGCGGACTTACTGATAATGAAACATAACTCAATCACAATTCAAATTAAAATGTTATTATACCATATCATATTACAAAATAATATTTTTTATAATCGGAAAAGTGGCTCTTTCTTAGGATTGTTGCCACTTAAATTGTTATAGTCATAGCCATGCGACCCGAAAAGAAAAATGGAACGCAGTTTGCGCATTATAATAAAAATCAAATATAAAATAAACGCTCTCGCTGCACTCGTGCATTATAAAATCTCCGGATAAATCACGTCGAACATTTTCCATTAACAAATAAAAAAAAATATCAGACCGACTTTATGCGGGAATATAATGCACTTACGCGGTCTTTACATAGACATTTTTTATTTAAATTCCATTTGATATCAGTGTTATTTCTTAAAGCTTTGTATACAGTACAATAGCATAAAGAATGAAAAATTACGATACAATTTTCGTATTGTTAGCGTTGCAATATTTTCTGAATGAACAGTGCGCTTGTTAATTTTAATGATGCGTTTTTTGTTACAAAATTACGTTGTATTAAAACATTTAATTTTTTAAACGCATTAAATGCAGTACTTTTAGAACAGTAATGCTTTTATGCACGTGCATTTACGTATTATCAATTCCGTCCTTGAGTTTCAAATCGTTGGGCCGTGAAGTTGAATGACATGATATTTTACCACATGGTTAATTATTAGCAGTTTATTTTAGATAATTTATTAACGAATAATAAAAATTGAATGCAAGATAACGTAGAGATAAACCGAGAGCCGTAATATATAATCTTAATACTATAGGGTAGAGTGGAGCTTAATAATACCTTAGGACCACGGGTAAAAAGGTCCATCACCATGATCTCAAAATTTTTTACCACATGGAATCATATAATAAAACCAGTTATAATAACAGATGGCCAATCTATGTATTTCATAAAAGCATTTAGTAATAATTTTGTAAGTTTTTTAGATAGTTATTAGAAACAACCCAATGGCCTAATACGTTTTCATTCGTCAAATTAATAGTTTTGCCTTGTATTGCACTAGAATCTTGAACTATATTTTCAGTAAAAATTAAAATATATGCCAAATAGAATTATCGAAAATGACACAATCAGTTTATCTTAATGGTCATAATAATTTCCACAGCAATATAACATAAATTAACGATATTATTTTCAACTAGAAGATAAACAATGTGAAATCAGCCCATCATCTTAATTCTTATGACGTCGCAACCAGAAGATAAATGGCTATGTATAAATATTCAAAACAAAAAAAAATTGTTTCGTTGGTAGTTTTTTTTTTGTTATTGAGCTCTTTGTTATTTTTAAGTTATCTCAATAGTTTTTTTCTATATAACTTCTATGAAAGCGTACATTGGGGTGGGGTCACTAAACAAAAGACTAACTAAACTTTTACACTGACAAAGGTATAAAATAAGAATATGGTAAATAAAAAAAATTGGTTAAGTTGAAAAAGCAATTTTACATAAGATAAATTAAATCGGTAGATCTTCCATTTCTGCTGAGGAATACTTTTCACGAAAATCAGATCGAGATTATATTCGGTGTAATCTTTGTAAAAATGTGCTAACGTAAGTGTCGCATAAGGATGAGGATAAATAATTTACCTATTATTTCGTAAAATCCCTTTAAAATTTAAATTAAGACATTATATCTGTTTGCCCGGTGGCTGTCGCTTTTTACCTTTTAAATTTTAGAAAAACAGTTAAAAAACATATTTCAGATACAGTATAATTACAGAAATTTAAATTGGACCTTTTTTCTCCGCCCTTCACTATATACACACATATATATATATATATATATATATATATATATTCATAATTAAATGGAATTATTATCCAACGTATAGGTAAATCTTGCCAAACAAAATGTGAAATAAAATGTGTGAAAGCATAATACTTTATGAAATTAACAACATTAATAGAAACCATTAGCTAGATTTAATTTTATTATGAACAAATAATTAGAATATGAAAATAAATAATATATATTTGATTATTATTTGTATTTGTTCTTTAAATTCGATTTTCTCTCGAATTAATTAAAATTTTGTATACTCAATTTGTATAAAAAGTCGAAGACATAATTATAGTTACTATCTCAGTAATTGGGTACAATAGTACAATTTACTTTATCTAAAATATTTGACTGCTTACTTAAAATTATTTAACTTCCAGTTCATTGCTTTCCACGTCATTTAAATTATTCTATTACGGCTATCAGTGCACATTTCATTTTATAACATGAGTTTATAACAAGATCCAATCAACAAGCGTGCCCATAACATGGAAACAAAAAAGAGCCTAATAATAAAAATTTCACCCAAGATTTCTCGAGCGAGTTATCGTAATTAAAATAATTGCCGTATTAATTTTCTTCAATTGCGTCCGTTGCATTGCGAAAGCGCGAAGTGCTCGTCCGCGATGATTTACGCGCGTCTTATAAACATCCCGCGGGCAAACGGCGAACTGCTATATTACCGTAAACCGCGATGCGATAGCGCAATCCCTGATAAAAATCATAGAACTGGCGGCTTTTATTCTTATTCTGCACAAACTGAATAAATCAAGTCATAATTACACAATCAGCAAGATGATCGTAGCGCTAGATAGGGACCTATCTTGGATACGATGAGGCAACTTGTACCTGTATCAGAACTAACGTTCTCTGATACTTCGTACCTCAATTTAGAAGCAAAGGCTTCTGTTGATAGTCCTCGAAGGCGTCCAAATCGCGGCCCGCGGATCGACTGAATTCCATAAGATGCGGTCCCTCGTTAATATTTTTCAAATTTTAAATTTTTAGTTTCTAGTATCCGAATTCGAATTTGTCAATCCTGTCATTTGCAAATAGAGAACTTAATTAGTAGGTGATATAAGCATTTGCTTAATCTACAAAAGTTAACATTTTAGTAAGGTGATTAGATTGGTCGGGACGATTTTCCGCCTTGCGACTCGGTTTTTTCTAAAAGCAATAGTTGACTCGGTTTTAGGTGTGTTGTACCGGATTGCCCCGGATTTTTAAAAATGTTTTGATTGCCAATATTTTTTTAAAAATATTTTAACTAGAAAATTTGAACCGAAAAAATGTGCATATAAATTTTTATCTCACCAATTCTAACCTTCTTCCCGCCCCCCCGCCCCCCCGCTCTCACACACATTATAATCCGCCCCAGATTTTCCCGCAAAAAATATGGTTACCTTACATTTTAGTGATATTTATATATACATCATGTAATATCTGTCCGAATGCGGAGTCTGGTGCTAAATGACAATAGGCGGTTTCAATAAATCTTTTTTTTTGATGCACACACAAGCATGTATACTATATATAAAACATAAGAATAAATAATTAGTAGGTTAGAGTGGGGCTAAAAGGTCCGCGGATAAAAAGGTTCACCACCGATATCTAAAAAATCAGTAAAGTTAATTTTTTAACAAGAATATTTGAAAGTAGAGGGAAAAAAATGCGTAACCATCACCCCGATTCTTATGACGTTGCTGTCGGAAAAAAGACTGCAATGTTTGAAAATACGTAACAAAAGTATTTTCTTTCATTGTCAGTTTTTGTGCGCGTGAGCTCTGTTTCTTAGATTACAAGACCTTAATAAATTTTTAACTATACGTTATTTAATTATTTTATAAGATGTATTGTTAGTTTTTAGTTAGATTCAACAGTTTTTTTTTATATAACCTCTCTAAGAGCTTACACCTGGAAAGGGTAAAAAGGACCTGAATCTTTACCCTGGCAAAGG